ATTTTGCTCTTATTGAGTATTTTAGACATATTTCCTATATGGTTGGTTTTCACTTTATTATTTCAATTTTTTTCATTATAATTTATATATTTACTTTTTTATTTTAACCGGATTTAATTTTTTATATTTAATGAATTGAATTTATTTTTTTTTCCACGTTTTATCTTTTCTCTCATCTTTTCATTTTTTATTTCATTTGTCTGAGCTACCTTTTTCACGATATTTTGTTCTCTCGTATTCAAGACAAATTGAAGGTGATAACTAGGGCTGGCAATCTGAGTAGCGACACGACGACACGACTCGAAACCCGCACGAAATTAACGGATTTAGGTTTATCATAAATAGGTACGGGTCAAAATTAAGTCGAACCCGTGAAACACGATTAAATAACGTGTCATTTTCAAGTTGACCCGCCAATCCACAATTGATCCGTCATAACCCGTTTATTAAACGTGTCATATTTGGGTAACACGAATACACAACCCGTTTATTACCCATTTTATAAACAAGTTAAAAAATATGTTCAGAAATAGGTTAACACAACCCATTTATCACCCATTTTATAAACATGTTAACAGGTAATCAATGGGTTGACACGACACGTTTATGACCTGTTTAATAAACGAGTTATTCGTGTCGTGTCGTGTCAACCCGCCAATAAATAAGTCGTATTTAGATTTTATATTTTGACACGATTAATAAACAGATCGTGTTCATATCAAACTTATTCGTGCTAACTAAAGAAATTAACACGACATGAACACAATCCGTCAACCTAAATTACCACCCTTAGTGATAACTTATTCTAGATATATTACATACTACCATAGTAGTGTTAAACGGGTAATGGCCTCTTGTAAAATGTGCAACTTTTGTAGGAAATTAATAAATGTGCACGAGTACACTTGCAGTTGTAACAGCTAGCCATGAAATGACTTTTGTCTTGCCACCAACCACGGAACCAATTCCACTTGCACAGCCAATCAGCCAAACCAAGTACGACAAATCTCCCTTCAAAAAGAAAAAAAAAAAAAAAAAACAATGATGAAAAGTACTTCACATTTCTCTCTCTCCCTCCAAATACTACCGTATAAAGTTTGTTTTTTCGCTAGCAATGTTTACTATAATATATATATATATATATGTATATATATGTTTGTATTCGTGTCATGAGCTTTTGAATGTGTATATACTTGCGGTCGGTTTCTTTTCTGCACTTCATGCATTTACTGAAGAGGGCTGTTTGCATAAGTTTAAAAGGGCTTGCAGCATCCCGTATTACTAATAATCAAACCTCTATATATATGTATGTATGTATATGAATATTCAGATTTCAAAATATATAGTACTGGTATCGAAAAACATTGATAATAACCAGTTCTTTTCTAGTAGTGTCTCGTACCTTTTAATAAACAAATTGATGCAAGTTGCACATTAATCCTTTGTTATTTCGTATATACCATTTTAAAATTAAATAGTTGCATACATTGCTCTCGTTGGGTATCATCAACTAATTATGAATTTGCTGACTTGCTTTTCTGATACAAATCTGAAGGAGAATTAAGGGTGCGTTCACTTCACGTATTCCACTCGAGTAAGCCCAACTCGAGTGGGATTTTGGGCTAAGTTTTGCGTTCAACAAATGGCACTTGAGTGTAAAACTCGAGTAATAACTCGAATAAGAGAGTTTGACATACGGTTGAACTTCCTATTATTGCAGTGTAGTTCTACAGTGTTCCCATGTGCTTGAACAGTGCAGATTCTCTGCTTTCTTCCCGTTGCTGCCTCGTTCCTGCCTCCCTAATGCAAATTTCTCTCTGCTTTCTGCCCATTGGACCCTATCAAGGGTAGATGTTTCTAATCCTTTTATATTTTTATCGGACTTCATCAAATTTACCTATTATGTTAATCTGATTAACCACAAAAACAAGATCTTAAAATGACTTTATATTTAACGCGCATTGATCCAGCCTAATTTTCTCTTGAACCAATATTGTCTTATATATGTATACTTAGATACTAAACTAAAATGATCATCATACCATATATCAGACATATCAAGAAACTCTAACTAGAAATATGCTTTTCATATGCAAGAAATAAACATAAATGTGTATATCCTTTGAGCAGAGAATTTTGCATTATATTGTATGTTCTTATGTGTAAAATGGTTCAAATATTTAGACACGCGCGCCGCACACGTATACATGTCTACATATTTATGCCTCATTTATTTTACCGATTTGAGTTTTCAGTTCTAAGTTTCTACAGTAAAAAACTCTCAGAAAATGTCACATCTAACTTTTTCTGCTACAGTGAAAGACTCTCAGAAAATATCACATCTCAACTCAAATTGAAAACTCGAATCCGCAAAGTGAACGAGGCCTTAATGGTTCCACGTAATATTTATCCATTAATAAATATCATTATTTTAGCCAAGATATTAATTCAACGGTTATAATAAATTAAATAATTTGTTAAAAAAATTATAACAATTAATGATATTAAATTTTTATTACTTCACGTTATTAAATTATTATATTTAATAATAACTATGGATAAAAACGTAATCATTAACAACCTGTTCATTATATATAATATGTTTTTTAATGGTCAACAATTGAAATGGTGTAACGTGGTCATTCAACCATAAGTTTCACTCTTTCTTAGCGTACAGAAACACGACATCTACTTTGTGGATATATCGTGAGATAATTCTGTAGTTACGCCTCACTATCAAGTCTCATGCGAACAACTTCTAATAAAAGACCAACATTGCATGTGATTTCTAATAATGAACCTTGTATATATATCATTTTATGTGCGTTTTTTCAATATTAGAAAGAGATCGCGTATAGGTGTCTAACAAGTACTGATCGAATCGTTGAGAAATCCACTCATAATTAGAACATTCTAGTACAAGAAAACGTTAGCGAAACAATTTTATATTATTCTTAGGACGAAATCAAAGAACAGATGTTGTGTTCAAATATATCTATAAATCTATTTCTTTGATCAAGAATTCTAAGGATAAGCTTTGTTTACTCTTCATCTCTTTGACCTTTCTGTTGGATAGAGGGGGTGACGGGTATGATAAGTTGGGATAAACTCAGTTGACTTATCTTTTTGTTTAATTAAGTTGTTAAGTTATAGACATTAATGAATAATTAGCCAAAAAAATTAAAAAAAAATGTCTCTTTTTTTAGAGCATAAAAATGTCCTTTTGACTGCTTTTTTCTTGGAAAAAATTAATTTGACGCTCTTAAAAAAATATTTATACATGATTCGAGCTAAATAATTTATAACTATATTTTTGGCTCTGAAAAGAAGTTAAAATTATAACTAGTAATACAGAGCTTAATTATATATCCCTGAAAGAAATTATCAGGTTAAAATGTATATTCACAATGATGAAGGTTTTTGTTTTTCTCAATTTGGTGAGTGATTATGAACTCTACATCTTATAATAAAATTAAAAATATATAAAAAATTAAATATGAAATTACTATTAAGTTAGGACTGTAATCACAGTAGAGAAATTACTTCTTAATTTTTTTTTAAAGGAAAATCGTATAAGTGCATGAATATAAGCACAGTAACACGAGGCCATTGATTTGATTTGAAACAACAAATGGATGTACTTTTAATTATTAAAAAAATAAAACAAAAAAACAAATGGATGTACTTTTTAGTACATTTATCTTTCTCGTCTGCCAACACAAAAAAATTGGAGAATGGAGATCGCCCACTTTCCCACTGCACAGCCTGTCCAGCACAAGGGGAAAAAATAAATAAAAAATAAAATAAAAATCCTAAAGCCCAAACCCACCAACTCACCTGCTATTCGACACGTGTCAAGACAATGCTCTAACCCCAACTCGTCCGCCTGATCTTAACACGTGGCAAACATCTCTGACAAACTATAAGGCGTTCGGCAGTCATATTTTTGAGTTAAAAATTTAAAAAAAATAATTTGAGTTATAATTTTATTTGAGCTCATATTCTTTTAAGTTTGAGCTCAAATTTATGATTAAAACTCTAGTTTAAGTTTCTCTTTTAATTTGAGTTCAGAAACTCGAACTCAAATTAATAAACATTATTTTTTCTATTCTTACAAATACTATAATTTTTTTGTTTTAATTTTGATTGAGATGATTTTTTCTATGCGTTGACAACGAAAAGACGAATAAAACCTCACCTATATACCCTATTAAAATTTTCTATTAGCATTGAGTTTTTATTAAAATATTATCTAAATTTAAATTTAAATTTTGACTCACTCAAATACAAACTTAAAAAGATTCTTATCTCAAACTATAATTTAAATGTACACAACTAAATACAAACTCAAATTATAACTTTAACTCAAATTATAACTCAAATTAAATTTAAAATTTACACTCATATTACCAAACTCAAAAACAGCAAAAGAACGACCCGTAATCCTCACAAGAAAGGCGTGGCAATACCCGAAAAAATGACAAGTGGAAATATCAAACCGCCTGATACCACCAACGAACAAACGACGTGTAGACATCTACGCACCAACTTGACTGGACGCCACGTCAGGTGGGCCCCACTTGTTAGCTGTACGTGACTCTGACTATGAGAGAATCAAGAGATTGTGGTGTCCAACGCAAAGCTGACTCAGTAATGACAAAGAAGAAGTCTGTTTCATCTGGGACCCACACCACCAAGATATTTTTGACCAGTAATTAGCCAACTAATCCCCACATTAATCTCACGCTTTCTATCGCCAACTTGCATGGGACTCTTTCTGTTTTTCCAACTTTCTCTCTCTTTCTCGCTTTTACTTTGGGTGTAAAATAATAAGGTGGACGTTATTTTATGATAAAATATGGAAATTATAATGGACTAGAAAGAAAGAAAACTTATAGATTTTCAGGTAAGGACTCAAGAATTCCGAATTCTCAGGGAAGGACTCTCCGGTCAACTATAAATATCGACAATTTATACTGCCCATAAACGCAATCCCAACTACAACTCTTTTATCTCTTGCAATGTAGGCTTTTATCTTAATTTCTTTTGTTTATAAGCTTCGATTTTGATTCAGGATGACCATCCTCATTGAACAGCCTCATGAGTTTGGTAAATTTCCCACTTTTTTTCTTACGTCTTTTTTCTCAAACATTCATTTAAATATAAATACTCACAATTTCTCAACCAAAAAAAAAAAAAAAAAATCCCAATTCGAAGATTTTATTCATTGAGTTAACCATGATTTAGCTTCTCCGTATTTTTGTTAGTATTTACATTAATTTTTTCTTAGCTTTTTTGTTTAAACTCTTATAAATCAAGGTTTTGCTCTTTAATCAAAGTTAACCATTTCATTATCAACAGTAAACCCACTATTCCGTACTATTCCAATTTTTTTTTTTTTTTTTTTTTTTTTTTTTTTTTTTTTTTTTTTTTTTTTCAATTATCTGTTGTAAATACAGGAATAGAAGCAGAGGAAAAGAAGGTCCCCATAGATGAAAAAGAATTGGTGTTGGATGGCGGATTTTTGGTGCCACAGACTAATTCGTTTGGTCAAACCTTTAGGTTAATTATCCTCTCTGCATATTTTAATTTCGTTAAACCCCTAGCAGACATGCCACAGCAAGTTCATAAAGGCTATAATTAATCTAATTAACATATATGCACGCGATACTTAATTTTATCTTGTTGACATGATTTTGAGTCTAAATTTATTTTATCTCGTGCACATGATTTTCTGGGATTCCTGGACACAACTTTTCAAGATATGACATTTTCTTTCTTTTGACAATTCGTAGTGATATTTATATATTTTTTTCGGTAGCAACGACAAGCTTAATATTGAACAACTAAGTTATGGATCACATGATTAGCCAAAAAAAAAAAAAAAATCTATGGATCATATGAGAGAAAACGCACTAACAATATATAAAAAATAAAAATAAACTCAGTAGAACTTGGGTCTAAGGCATGGAAAACGAAGTGATAGTCACACTACATGAAAAAATTTGACACTTAAGTTGAGATTTAGCGAAATTTTTAGAATATTATAAATATAGCAAAAATGACATAGTAATTATCATAATGATACCATATTTTATAGTGTATAATGATAGTCATTATTTAATGACATAAAAATGATATAAAATTTTACTATTATTGTAATATTTTAAAATTTTTGCTAAATTTAAATTTTGATATCAAATTTTTTTTGCTATATGAGTAAATCACCCTGGAAACGAATTATTTGAGAAAACTGAAAGGGATCCAGTTACCAAGGGTACGCTGGGTCACAGGAATGGCCCAAAACTAGCTTTTCAGCAAGCCTATTATTTCCCAGGCCTGGCCTAGCACTCCAAACCGTAATCCTTCTGACTTAAGCAAAAAACTAATGTTAAGCATGGAGATTTTTTTTTTTTTTTTCCAAGATTGTATGTATAATATTCTTAATGATAAAATAGGGACTATGATGCTGAAGGAGAGAGGCAGCCGGGTGTGGAGAACTTCTATAGAATCAATCACCTGAACCAGACTTATGATTTTGTGATTTTTTTATATATATATATATATATATATATATATATATATATATATAGGAGATAGTCTTAATTTTACCTCTTACTCTTGATTAATACCCTTTTTAGTGAAAGAACTATATTAACAAAATAGTACTACAAATTTAGAACAAACACTTTTAACGATAAGTTCAGCAATTTAATCTTTTTTTTTTTTTTTTTTTTTTTTTTTTTTATCTATAAGAGAGTTATGTGGGAGAGTATGAAAAAAGACCTTACTGATAGATCAAAGTTCAACCAGCATATATTTATCAACTTCCATTAAATTATCAATTACGATTTTTAATCTGATATGATTATGATGTGATATGGCGATTTAGAACCATATCTTATCAATAGAGTATTTTTTTTCTTATCCTATCACAAAGTTATCCTTTTATTTCTTAAAAGGTAAACTAAAAATAATAATTAAATTTTCTTGTTGGTAAAAAATTGCATGTAACACAGGTGAAGAAGATGAGGGAAGAGTACAGCAGATTGAACAGAATGGAGATGAGCATATGGGAGTGTTGTGAGCTTCTCAATGATGTTGTTGATGAGAGTGATCCAGATTTGGATGAGCCTCAAATTGAACACTTGCTTCAAACTGCTGAAGCCATTAGAAGGGATTATCCCAATGAAGATTGGTTGCACTTGACTGGCCTTATCCATGGTATTTAGTCTTCCGAATTAACTTCATTTGACTTTCTAGTACTTTGTTATGACAATTAGCCAAGTAATTGACTGTTAATATGCCTTAGATCTTGGAAAGGTGCTTCTTCTTCCTAGCTTTGGAGGACTTCCTCAATGGGCTGTTGTAGGTAAAGAATCACATTACATTTGTATTCTAAAAAAACAAAACGGAAATTTATGTTTTTTGTTGCTCCATGTTGTTCAACTTTAACCTTATTATTAATCATGGTTTGTGCCATTGCTAGGTGACACATACCCAGTTGGCTGTGCTTTTGACGAATCAATTGTTCACCACAAGGTATTTTTATCATAAAGTTGGAAAGAAATGTATTCTACCAAATTGAAGTACATAATTTTTAATCTGAAGGACTTCATATTTACCCTTATGTGACTGCAGTATTTCAAGGAAAATCCAGACTACGAGAATCCTGCTTACAATACCAAGTATGGAGCTTACTCTCCGGGATGTGGACTCAACAATGTATTGATGTCATGGGGACATGACGATTACATGTATTTGGTACATACTCAAACCTTTGATAAAATTATCAAGTTCGCTTTATAAATAGGAAATTTACGAGCACCTTATTTGAGTCATTGACCGTACGATTTAAATTAGACAGCGCTTATGAAGTAAGTGTAACACTACTGTTTTAAGAAATTTTTTTCACACTTCTTGACCTCTTAATCATATGTGTTGTACGATACTGTCAGATATCTATGATGGGTCCCACTATAGAAATTCCCCTTTTCAAATGTGATAGCATTTTGTCGTGTATTAAAGGTAGAAAACATAGGGAAGCTAAAATTAGGCCGGCATTTTTAGGTGGCGAAGGAGAACAACACCACTCTACCTTCAGCAGCTCTTTTTATCATTAGATACCACTCTTTCTATGGTAAGTGGTGAAACATAGTACTTTTTTTTTTTTTTTTTTTTTTTTGACACAAGTACTTTATGCTCAAAAGATAAATCATTTTCCTCATCAACATTTGATTCTTGATGAAATTGATATTACAGCATTACACAAGTCAGGAGCATATAAGCACTTAATGAATGAAGAGGATTTTGAAAACCTAAAATGGCTTCAAATATTCAAGTAAGTACCTCCATACTTTGTATATTGCTTGATCTCTTTTAATTTCTCAGCCAATCCAAGTGCTAATATATGCATTCCATCTTTTTTTCTTTTTTTGTCAGCAAATATGATCTCTACAGCAAGAGCAAGGTTCGGGTTGATGTAGAAAAGGTCAAGCCATACTATCTCTCCCTCATTGATAAGGTAATAAGCACCCCCAATCAATCTCATTTTTCATTCACTAATTCTTCCTTAATTAAGCCTGCAGTATTATTTACTTGCTCTAATCAACTAATTAAATACGTGATTTTTTTTGTTCCAGTACTTCCCTGCCAAGCTAAATTGGTGAAACTTGAGGAACTCTTCCACTTTTTGGGTGAAGAGATGTTGGCATCTTGTGGTGATTAACAATGTGACATGAGTTGTGATGTATGTGAGAGACTCCATTCAGAGATTGTCCAATAAAAGCCTTTCTTCTGTTTCTAATAAAAGCGTTCCTGATCTAATAATGGTAAACCCATTTAAAGCAGCCTTTTGTGCGATGTCGTTTTATGCATGAGCCTCTGTCTGTCTTAATTTAGAATATAACTAGTCAAAAGCCCGCGCACGTTCCAAGAAAAATACTGTTGTATTATATAAAAAATTAAAAAATTTTATAATATAGAATTAGTTTATATATACATATTTGGTCTATCTTCAGTTAGAACATCTTAACTATATCATACCACCTCGATGAATTTCAAGTAAAAAACTGAAACACGATGATAGTAAGCGAGACAGACATAGATAAACTCGATTAAACTGTTAAGATGATACCTTAACTAAAATGACAAGGAAGAAAAATCGACAAAGGACGGCCATAATTAAATGAAAAAAAAAAAGAAAAGACGACAACAATGATAAAGTGAAAACGACAACAAAGTATTAAACGACATGGCATGAAAATGACGACAATGACTCGGAAGGAGCTACAAAACTTGAGTAGACACCTTAAGCAACAAATGCCAAACCGTAAAACGACAAGAAAATATTAAACGACATGAAAAGATTAACTCATAAACGACGCCTCAGAAATGCAAAAATCAAAACAATAATAATAAGGGACCATTTTCTAGTACGCCAACATATTGGTAGGTCAGGTTTTCTGTTTATCGGGTCTACATAAAATCACGTAAAAATAAAAAAGTACGCATATCTAACGGTTGAAAAAACTTGATTTACCGGTACACTAAGTGTACTAGAAAATCTCTCTACAAAGGCAACATCAAAGTTAATACGACAACATAATAGATACGATAAGGAATTAAGAAAACGACAAACCGTAGGAAACGACACTGCACTCTTAAATCAATTCCCTTGAGAGGAAGTTTAATAATTTTAAAGACAAATAGAATTTCCTTGCAAGAAATTTCTTTTTCAGCTAACAAATTGTTGTGGGCTTACAAAAATAATTGATTGCCTTTGACATATATTTAATATTAAAGAAGAGTTAAAAACCAAATAATATTTCCTTAAAAAAGAACATTGTACTTATAGTACATATACTTGTGAACACAAAGTAATTGTAGGGTACTCGTGAGATCAACAAAGGGAATTGAGAATTAGGCTGTCAAATAATAACTTGGTCGTTCTTCCACTTCCAGCAACATTTTTTTTCTTCTTCCTTTTTTTTTTTTTTTTTTTTTTCCTCTCTGATTGTGGTAATCCAATCTATATAGATAGCATGGAAAAAAAAAAAAAAAAAAAACATAAAAAGCAAATCTTAGTCAAACATAAACGACGGAATACCAATGGCGGATCAGCTTCACTTTATATTCAAACACTAATTAAACGGACAACGCGCACAGCGGCCTAATTGTAGCTGTAATTGTGTCCAAGGTCCGCAAAACGTAAATTAACAGAACTACGAAACATGATATACGTATTACGTGACTTCGTCATATGCTAAGAAAGTCAGAAAGCAAGACGTGAAGAAACTTCCTAGCATATAAACTCTTACCAATAGTCAATAATCCAAAGGGCTCTAGCTACAAATTTGTTACTATATAAGGACTCGCAATCAAGTACTAAATCTCGTCATCAAGTTTTATAAACTATTTTGGTATAAGGAAAAAAAAAAAGAAAATGGCTAGGAACTCCATTAGATCTATTGTGGTGACTCTTCTCATCATCTTTGCCATGATTTTCGCTCCCATCATGGTGTCGGATGCAATTCGCCCAACTGTATCAGGTAACTAAGCAAGCCCTTTTTTCATCATTAACGTCTGATTTTGTGATCTACAGTTCTGGCTTTCTATTAGGAGTTTGCTCGTTTTCAATTTGTTTAATTGTTGATTTTTGCGAGTCTCATGGCTTGGATAGACTTTTTCTTATTGTAATTTTTTTTTTCCTTTTTTTATTGTATTAATGAATTTAGAGTGGGAGTTTGGCATAGAAAGTTGCTTATAAGGTGCTGACTTAATTGAAATGTTATAGACAACTATGAATGCATTAATTTATGTAATTTATAATTTGTGTGTCTAATGTACAATTATATTCATTTGTACCGTTGCAGTCAAAACCGGCCCCATATGTCCTGCATGTGTCTGTTGCGAACCTCCACCTCCGGGCTCTTGTTGCCGCTGCGGAAACTGTGCGCCTCTCGCTCAAACTCAGCTACCTACTTCACAAAATGGCTCTCCATGAAAATGCTTTCATTTCTTATTTATTTCTAGACCTACTTATAGAGCTTAATTTCTTGTTTTCGTGATTGTCCCGAACCCAAAAATTACAAATGAAATAAATATCTATAAGATGCTTTAGTACTGTGTTTGTACTGTCTATCTCTATAAAATACTTATTAAGTTCAAGTGATTTATAGGGTGGAAATGTAATGCCTCTTATTGTAATTTAAATATAATAATATGCATGTCAAATATGATTAATTGGACAAGCCAAAACGCTGGCTTCATTCATTAAAAGCTCTACTTTCTCCAGAGTCCACAAGTAATATCCATTTACCATCCCACAATTTATGTGTACATATGGTAATCAAAACTAGAATTTAGCATTGTCCTGCTAACGAAGTCAAAAATATAGGTTGGTAATTGATTTAGGAAAAACAATAAGAAACGAGTAGTACCCTAAAAACGACAATCAAATGAGAAAACTACTACATGAGAAAAAAGAGACCAAGTTAAAAAACAACAACAAAGTGTAAAAAGAATTATATTGGATATCTGAAAGGAATAAAAGGAAAAACCGTGATGAAGCAAGGGGGAAAAAAAATACACAATCGTAAAAAGAGAGAAAGATAATGAGAAACGACAGCAAAATAAAAAACCACAAGCGGCATAAAATAACGACAACAAAAAATAAAGTTGACAACAAAAGCCGCAGCCGTTGCATTCATTTATAGATCCATGAATCTTGTGCCCATTTAGGGCATATCAAAGTCACTTTCTACACAGATCAATGGAGATCTTTCCTAGCTAAGGCATTCGTAGTAAATGCATTATGAATGGAGGGGGATATCAACGTCAAATCTTGGCCTTGCCAATTGCTTCCATCGGTTGAATCACTCGAATTCGGGATATTCTTTAAGAAAAAAAAAAAAAAAAAAACCATGCCCCCACCATATTTACTAGAAAGATAAAAAAATAAAAATAAAAATAATGAGGTTAAGAATCCAACTAAAGTGGCAAATCTTGGGATATTTCTCGCCTAGATTGGCTGGCAGGAAAAAGAAAAATTTAGGTTCTGTTTATTTTACCGATTTGAGTTTAAAATTTGAATTTTATTACAGTAAAAAACTCTCAGAAACAGTCACATCTAACTTTTTTATTACAATAAAAAATTCTTACATAAAATTATATCTTAACTCGAATTAAAAATTTAAATCAGTAAATTAAACAGGCATTCTGATACTTTGCTCTGAATGTGGAAAGAGAATCTTCATGCCATTTCACGCTGTCGTTTTGACCGAGAAAAAAAAATTACGAGAGCATCATTACCTTGTAATTTTTTTTTTTTATTAAAGGAACTGCCTTTTGAAATACAAGGAGAGAAATTATTATTATTATTGTTTTACGGGAAGGCAGGAGTAAACATCGGACTTGGATCATCCGTTCAAAATTTGTTGTCTTAAATTATATCCAACCAGCAATTTTATGACACGTCATCTAAAAAACTTTCCGTTTACACTTGCGTCTATATCTAACGTTAAGTCTAACTTTTCTCTGCTTTTCTCTTTCCATATTTAATACATCTTTTGCCATTTCACACTGTTGTTTTGACAGAGAGATACTTTTTTTTTGGGAAAAAAAAAAAAAAAGAAATTAGGAGAGCATCACTAGCCACTACCTTTTAAATTTTAAAATACAAGGAGAGAACTTATTCTTATTGTTTTACGAGAAGGCAAGAGTAAACATCCTTTGGCATAAACAGAAAGGATCATGATTTAATATGGTATTTTCTCCAACTACCAAAACAAGAATTAGAAATAACTCATCACCTCATACAACGTACCCAACACTCATAATGATCCGGCCCGGCCGCATTAATCCACTCAACTACCACTGCGCGTTTCCTTTAAGAGCTTCAAGTGGAATGGTCCTAAATGAAGTTGTAATTGGTTTGATATCCTTTGGCTGATCTAGTCAACAATTGGGTTACTACAAGCATGGAGGAATATATAGGATCAGCCAATATCGATTGGAAACTAACTAGGGGAAACAACCGTGACGAAGTTATACATGTTATAAGCCATGAGTTCATGACTGATCTCTAGCACCCGGCGACATATAAAAGCGCTTTTCATGAGCTAATTGACAAGCGCAGCAGGCCAGGCTGATTATAATCATCGTGGAACGACGATCAAGTCAGAGCTAATTGCGCGTCAAATTTTCGCTTTGATTACAGCGACGGAAGAGCCTGAGTACTACTGGTTTTCTAATAAGAGATTGATTCCTAGTTTGTACATTTTTCTCTGGTAAGGGCTTCTCTCTGTGTAAACTGATCTGTTTGTGTTTATGGTAGTTGGTTAACTTGTTGCTGTTCTTTCATCTGATATTCGAATGCGGCTTCTCAAAAAAATTTGCAACACTAGAAAACCTAACACACTCCATCTCCCCCTCTTTCCTTATCTCTTCTCTCCCTCTTAGCTTTCCCAGGACTTTTGCAAAATGACTTTAAAAGAAACACTTCAAAATTAATTTTCATTTACAAGATAATTTCAAATTAGTCCACACTGAGCTATGAATCGCTCAATATTATTAAAATTAAATAAGGTTATTTTGCCAATTTCACTTTCTAATATTGTCATTTTGGCAAATTTCCTCACCCCGTGACAACCGCCTGTGATCACCTTGCACCGGCAAGCCATGAAGGATGGTTTCATTGTCCTGACATTCTGCAGGCAAGCGAGGGAGTAAACTAACTTAATTTGGGGGTCCATATTTTATGGAATTGCAAGGTCATCTTGATTTTTGGTAAATTTACACCATACAACTTTTTTATTTAGTAAATTTACACCGTACAACTTGATCCTGGCTATGACAATAAATCCTCCGCTATTCTTCTCCCTAGTGCCCAGCGAAGTACTGTAATGATGAGGCTGGCATTAAAGTATCTTCTCTTTTTATTGCTCGGTGGTTTTTCTCTCACAAATATCTATGCAGACGATCAATCAGGTATGAATATCTAATATACGATATAAAAATTGTGAATATCTGTAATATATATTTTATATACATACATAGGTGATAAACAATATTTAATAAAGTTATATACATAATATATATATATTTATAAACATGTACTCTATTTTTAAGCTTTCTAAAACATGTGTCATTATTTTTGGTGAGAAAAATCCATTTTAGTTTGAAGAGACAGGGGCTCCATCACACACATAATGATGAGGCCCACATGTGAGACCCACATTTTTTAGACAAAAATACCCATGGATGATGATGATGATGATAATAAATGAAACTAACCTCTTCTCCACGAAATGGTACTGTAGATTAATACTTGATGAATGACACTCTACTTGTTTAGAGTGAGAAAGACATCTTCAATAACCTTCATTATCAAGTTATTATTCAACATTTTCGATGCATGAAATTAAACGTGACGAGACAAATATAGAACATTATCAACTGCTTATTTTTATTTATTTTTTTTCCTCACTTCGCCGCTGAAACTACTAGATGTCATTTCTCAAAACCCAAACCAACTAATTGAATTTCACAATTTTCGACAATGTCCAGGATTTATAAGCATAGATTGTGGTTTACCTCATGGCTCTAGCTACGAAGAGAAGAAAACAGGTTTGAAGTACATTTCAGACGAGACTTTCATAGACACTGGTATAAGTAGGTCCATACAGCCAGAGTACGAAGAGAAATATGTACGGCCAGCGTGGTCTCTTAGGAGCTTCCCTGAAGGAAATAGAAATTGCTACAAAATTGGAGTTACAGCAGGAACCAAATATCTTATCCGAGCTGGCTTCGTGTACGCAAACTATGACGGCCAAGATAGGCCACCAGCATTCGACCTGTACCTTGGAACTGATTTGTGGATTTCTGTAAAGTTTGGAAATTACTTGTTGGGAGATGATCTCCACTCGGAGATCATACATGTCCCCAAGCAAAATCATGTCCATGTTTGCCTCGCGAAAACAGGCGATTCAATTCCATTCATAACAACATTGGAGCTCAGGCCGTTGGATAATGCATCCTATCCGGTGCTTGATATGGGGTCTTTGCTTAAATTACTAAGGCTTGATGCTGGTTCTGGAACAACATATAGGTGAGATAGTTGTATTCTCTAACTCTAGAAAATAAATAGAGCAATTTGATAAGTAACATGGCGCTTTTTGGTTCTTTGAATCCAAAATCTAATTTTGCGGTGATTGAACGATCTTCTAAAAAAACTTGGCCCTTTTCGAAGAACTCTCAGTCAAAATCACAAAATATGACTTTTCAAGAAATCTCTTTTAAAAATACTTTTGAAACTTATGTCAAATGCTTCAACAAGATTTTAAAAGCTTCAACCTAACATTTTTACTACTCATTAACAAATTTAATATTATTTTTTGTATTAAGTACATTTAAAAATGTGATTCTAAATACTTATTAAGAAGTCGTCAATTTTATTTCTCAACATCAATGGTGATTCTTTTGTACATATATGTATATATCCAATGAAAGAATATTTCCATTGTTAGGTATGGCGACGACAGTTATGATCGTCTTTGGAATTCCTTCCAGCCTGATGATTCGACAACTTTAAACACTTCACTTAGCGGCTTCAACCTCAACAATACTTTTTTCCACCCACCACCGGTGGTTATGACGACTGCTTCCACTCCGAAAAACGGAGATTCATTGGATTTTAATTTTGTTCTTGAAGCTGATTACAGCATTGCTTCCCAATGTTATGTCTACATGCACTTTACCGAAATCGAAAAGCTTCAAGCCAACCAATCTAGACAACTCCAGGTTTTTCATAATGGAAAGCTCTTCTATGGACCATTTTCTCCTCTTTCCGCAGTAACAACAACAATATATAACCGAAAAAGTAGTTTAATCGGAAGAGTGCATAACTTTTCAATCTCTAAGACTGAAAACTCAACCCTTCCACCCATCATTAACGCCTTGGAGTTCTATGTTGTACAAGAATTCTTGCAAGCAGAAACAGACCAACAAGACAGTGAGCGATCTTTCCAAAACCTTGTGATCTTCTTCCGTACTTCGAAAATTAAAAAATTTAGACAATATATGATTTATATAGGTGATTCGATGGTGATATTAAAGTCAGCTTACGGGATTAAAAGAAACTGGCAAGGAGATCCATGTCTCCCCAAAATATATTCGTGGGAAGGTGTAGACTGTAGCTATGACGATGATGGTCAGCTACAGGCACCAAGACTCATATCCTTGTGAGTATATACATATACATATATACCTCGTGTATAAACTAATTGATGTTTCATCTCGATTCCTTCTTTTTTTTTTTTTTAATTTCTTTTCTTTGACATACTAAACTCAATTGAACATATTATTGAATCAGGAACTTATCAGCATCTGGATTAGTCGGTGATATACCTTCTTCCATATCCAATCTCACAATGATACAAACTCTGTAAGTGTATATATATATATATATTCATATATGCATACATGGATCTATGAAACACCTTTGAAACATGAGTTGATATTAATCATGGGAATGAACCTTTTACTTCAGGGATTTATCAAACAACAACTTAACGGGATCAATACCAGACTTTCTGTCTGAATTACCAAAGATGAAACTCCTGTATGTACATTTTCGATTTTGTAGATCTGATCATGCTGCAAATTCTCCCCTTAATTTATGAAGCTAGAACTTTTAATGCTTTGGCACCCTTTTGCAGAAACTTAGAAAACAACAACCTTAGAGGTCCAATTCCAGCTGATCTAGCACAGAAATGGAAGGATGGTTTTCTTTCCTTAAGGTGTGTTTCGTTCGTTCCCCCCCTACATGTTTAATATTTATGCATATTTTCTCAAACATCTCTTGAGACAAAAAATTGAGTACTTTTACTCTTAATTTGAATAGCTACGTCAATTTGCGCATATTAATTAATATTGGTCCTTGATTTCATCTTTAATTGTAGTTTATAGATTCAAATGACAATTTTTAATTCCTCTTAAAAACAGATCATATGGCCCTTGAAAAGGTATAATAGTACTATTATAGTAAGTACTTTTTCTGTTGTTAATTTCTTATTAAAAAAAAAATGAAAATGATGAGAGAGGAACTTTTCTCTGTTATGGTAATGACAACATGTAGTGTTATTTAACAAATAAATTTTGATGGCATATTAAGCCCAACGAAAAGTGCCTTTTTTGTAATTGTTTATGAAAATAGTATTAAAATGGAAAAAATTAACAAAATCGCTGCCTATCTATGCACCAATACGCTTTGATGCCAGTGTGTGCGGAAATCCAAAGTTATCTTCAACAGTTTCTTGCAAAAGGAAGAAGAAGAAAAATGTTGTCCTTCCTGTGACAGCATCAGTTGTTGGAGCATTCATTCTGGTGTTAATTGTGGTAGCAACTTGGTGGGTATTCCTAACTAAGAAAAGACAAGGTAAGACTTCGACATCAAAAACTGGTCCTCTTATACACCAATTAATCAACTTTAAATGGTTTTTTTTTTTTTTTTTTTTTTTTTTTTTTTAAGTGACATGCCTTTTATAAAAAAAATATAGAGTTGTGGGATTTAAATTCTGTCTCTAATTAAGTGGAGATAAATGTAGATTTATATCGCTATGCTACGTTCGTATTGACAACATGTCTTTTCTATATTAGGAGTGACAAAATATTATTAATGCAAATTTCACATAAGACGGTATTCAATAATACTTTTTTTTTTTTTCAAAGAATGGATAAGACTAGAAAACGGTGTTTGGTATGAGGATTCGTGCCATGATTTAAATCATGGTTCGTGACTCGCTTCAATATTTTCTCTCACAAAAAATACACGTAAATCGATAATAGTTCTGAATCATAGTTCTGAATTCGTGAACTAAATGTCTAGTCAATAAGAAAATTTCCAATTAGATTGAAGGGAGCACTTGATTAACTTATTCTGCAGATGCAAAATCCACCAGCCAAGATAGATCATTGGGTGCAAGAAAACAAAAATTCAAGTACTCGGAGATGGTAAATATTACAAACAATTTTGAGAGAGTTCTTGGCGAAGGCGGCTTCGGAAAAGTATATTATGGCTGCATAAACAATACACAAGTAGCTGTGAAGACGCTCTCTGTATCATCGGTTCAAGGATACCATCAATTTCAAGCAGAGGCATGTCTAATTACACTGATTTATAATGTTTGAAGCATTCTATGTAGAGGAATATCTGACTTTTAAAGCTGCAGGTTAATCTTTTGATGAGAGTTCATCACAAGAACCTGACAAGCCTTGTTGGATATTGCAACGATAACGATAAAAACAAATTGGCGCTTATCTACGAGTACATGGCCAATGGAAACTTGCAACAACATTTTTCAGGTCTGACGAACAACTGAATGGAAGTATTACCATTTTGGCTTATATCATATAGACACGTTTGGAAGTTATAAACAAGTAAAATTAAAAAAAAAAAAGGTCATAGTTTCTAGGTTGTTTTTTTGTTTTCACAACCTATCCTCTAGGTTGTTTCTTGTTTTTAGTTTTTTGGATGTTTTGTCTCAGTTTCTTTCATCTTTTGTAATTTTTTTTGGTTAATAATATTGGAGTGATGGACTTAATAGAGGATAGGTTTTAAGAGGGGTGCCAACCTAATTAAGATGTCTCAGGGAACTTAGATACTAGTTGTCTATTCTCCTTAATTTATAAAAATAAAAAATAAAAAAAGTCACAAACAAGAAGTGCTATATTTTGGTATGCATGGCATGTTATAGAGAGTATGTACAATCGATTAGTTGCTATACATTCAACAATAATTTTGCTGTCTATATGTCACATCTATTAAAAATTTTCCCTGACCCAAAAATATTGCTCGGCAAAGAACTCGTTCTTTTTTCCCCTTTTTGTTACATGATTAATTTGTTCTCCTGTATTTACGCGAAAATCATTGAAAAATACATTAAGCTAATTTGATTGTATTCGTAGGTAGAAACTCAAATATTTTGAAATGGGAAGACAGACTTCTAATTGCAACAGACGCAGCACAAGGTGTGCAAATAGATCGATTGCTTTTCCAATTCCTTCTATATATAGCATATTACATTATACTGCATTGGCATGAATTTTGATTTGTACTTAGGATTGGAGTATCTACACTATGGTTGTAAGCCTCCTATAATTCACAGAGACGTGAAGACCTCAAATATCCTGCTCAATGAAAATTTACGAGCGAAATTATCTGATTTTGGGCTATCCAGAATTATCCAAAACTGTAATGAGACTCACGTATCTACTGTAGTTGCTGGTACTCCTGGGTACCTTGATCCTGAGTAAGTATTATTTTACATCTCAACATTTTTAGAACTTTAAATCTTAAGTATGTTATCAATGATACAAAGAAAAAATAAATAAAGATACATATTGTCCTTGTCATGAATATAATATTACAATATAAAATTTGTTTATTTCTATAATTAAATTATATAATATCAATAAGAAATATTGTCTTATAAATAAATCCTCTTTATTACTGTGTCATAAATATTGAAGACTGAATGGACTTGCTTTAATTTAAGGTGTAAAAAAAGGACTTCAAGAACATAGTCAAATTTATAATAGTAGTATTTGAGCTGGATCGTTGTTTTGGATTGCAGATACTACATGTCAAACAGGTTAAATGAGAAAAGTGATGTATATAGTTTTGGAGTTGTACTGTTAGAGATCACCACAGGTCGACCCGCCATATCAAAATCATCTGACAACGCTCACGTTATCCAATGGGTTAAGCAGATGCTTCAAAATGGCAACATTCAAAGTATTGTTGATCCAAGATTAGAGGGGAATTTTAATGTTAACTCGGCGTGGAAAATTGTTGAAACAGCAATGAACTGTGTTTCTCAGTATTCTGCAGAAAGGCCAACAATGAGTCAGGTAGTAGGAGAACTAAAAGAATCAATGGAAATAGGGCTTGTACGGTCAAGGGATACGGATCCAATGATGCCTTTGATGAGCATTAATTTTAGTGCTGAAATCAGTACTCCCTCAGCTCGGTAGTATTACTAAAACTTTGGCTTCGATTATCGAAAGTTGTATCTTTGATGTCCGAGACATGTTTTATGCAGTCAAATATAGTTTTTAAACTTCTTGAAGGTCCTTCATTACTGGGACTTCTGTGTCTGCTATTTGCTTATGTGACATAGATTCTTCCTTAATAAAATGGAAATCTTGTTTGTATAGTTCATTTTTATTAAATAATTCCTTAGTGTGTCAACAACAATAAAATGGAAATCTTGTTTGATATAGATGCATATCGTCCCTTGCCGTCGTGAATTGCAATTCTCATGGTTAATTCTTGGCGTCACGTTTTCTGCATTCATGATCACGTCATAGAGAGGGTTCCTTTGCTCTTTCTTCTTTCTTTTAGGCAAAAGACCCTAACTACACGCTCATTTGATCTATCGGGCACGCTTTTTGCCTGCTTTTGATCAATTTTTTTGGAGCTTGTGACTCAAAACAGTTTATTTATTTACAAGCACTCTTGAGTCGGACATGATCCTCAGTTCTTACCTTTAATTATACGTTATTGTTATTTTTTTGTCTGTATCTTTTATTATCTCCAATATAAAAACCCAATTAAACAAAATATCATACAATAACTACTTGAGTTCATATATTTGTAAAAATAACAAAAAGAAATATCCCTAGATTATTAGAAAATATATATAAAAGAAAAAATTAGTGAAAGAAAAATGATGAGATTTATTACACTACTAATATAGTCTAAGGCCCCGTTCATTTCGCTAATTCGAGTTTAGAATTCGAGTTTTGTTACAGTAAAAAGCTCTCACAAACAATCACATCTAACTTTTTTGCTACAGTAAAAAGTTTTCACATAAAATCACATCTCAACTCGAATTAAAAACTCGAATCAACGAACTATACGAGCCCTAAAACTTTCATTTAACTCAAGTCCCCACTAAATAAATTTTCTAGCTTCGTAGTATTTACACTTGACTCCACCATAAGATTTAAAGTTCAAATTCATCGTCTTTAAATAATAATAATTAATAATAATAATAATAATAAAAAGATTGATGGACTACTTTTAGGTGGGCCGTACGTATTCATATTCTGCCTACGATTGTATTTCTTTTTGGTTCTCTCTTTTTTTTTTTTTTGATGGTTAAGTGGATCTAATGTAACGTGCAGACTTTCCCTTGGACTTGGTCATCGAACTCATAATCATACGGGCCAATGGCATTAAACCTCTCAACTGCTACCTTTATTATATACACTCTTTTTGTATCTCCATACCGGTCCTCCATTGTCAACTTATGACAACTAGGCAAAGCTATACAATTAAAAGGAATGAGATTTTTGTGGTAGGGTACCCTAAACAGATTTTGAGCTTGACATAATGACTTAGTTTAGTATTACTTTTTCCTTCCAAAATCAGCTTCTACTTGTCATAAAAGTTAATTTTAGTATTTGGTAAATCTTCTTAAAAGTGCTTCTTGAAGAATTTTTGAAGAATCTATAGCCAAAATTAGAAGCAGCCTAAAGACAACTTTAGTTTTTAGATTGTGCGAAATCAGCATAGTATAATTAATGAAACTTTCATAATACCCATAATACTCCTTATAAAATTTAAAATTTACAATCTTCCCAATCTAAAATTCAAACTCGTAATATAATATAATATAATATAATAATAATATTGTAACAAATAATATCATAATTATATTAATAATTCTAATACTATTATTT